AGCTCACAGCAACCTCAAACTCTTGGTCTTAAGGAATTCTCTTGCCTCAGCCTCCCGAGTAGCTGGGACTACAGGCACCTGCCATAATGCCTGGCTATTTTTTCATTGTTGTTGTAGTTTTCATTGTTTTAGCAGGCCTGGGCTGGGTTTGAACTGCCAGCCCCATGTATGTGGCCAGAGCCCTAACCACTGACCAATGGACATCGAGCCTGATTTCAGATATTTTAATGGAAAATATACATTTTACACTCCATAAGATGAAACCATTTTAGTATTTATTTAATTGAGTGATACGCATACTGCACTGAAAATACTTTCTTTGGATTTTATGAAGTGTTTATGATAAAAAATAATTTCATGATTGGCTTATCATCATATGTGAAGTACTTTACTGTTTTCCTGATATATTTTTCTGATCAGTTGATTTCTGTCTTGCCTCCTTGTTAATCAGGGATTCTCCTTTGGTCAGGGAAGAGCTATCTTATCCTGGCTGTCTTGAGGCCCAGAATGAGATTCCACAAACATCTACAGTCACTTATTCCTCTGTTTCCAGTGCAGTAATCTTCTTCTTAGAGTTCTTTGTGTACAAAACCTTTACGGGGACACATTTTAAATCCTTTTGTTGAAAGGGGTCGAGTATAAATTCTGATGTAAATAAAAAGAGCCTTGTCTTTGGAGAGTTGAAGTGATGGCTGTGTTTTAATACAAGGTAGTAGATTCCCTAATAATAGCAGATGTTTAATGTCTAACTGCAGTAAAAATTGACTTTCCTATTTTTGTTTGCAGCGATGATGTCAGGTCAGCTAACATTATTGCTGAAGAAAATGATGTCGCATGCCTGGTTATAGACCGAGAGTGAGTATGCAGGTGTTGGTGGAGAAGGCAGGCTGCTGCCACCTTCCAATACTTGGCCTTCTGTTACTCGGAGGACTGATCTCTTTTCTCATTCATCACCACTTGGAAATGCTGGGCACTGCTCCGCTGCGAGGACATTCTATTAAAATTCATGGGCAGGAACAGGGCCTTCTGATCTGAATCTGTCTGTGGCAGTGGCAGCTGCTGGCTGGCTAAATATTTTGTGTGCAAAGTTTGTACATGAATATCAGCAGTAACCTGATTTAAATTCTGCATCTTTCAGAGAAATAAGCTGATTAGTGTACTTGTGGATTATTTTTCCACACAACATAGTAAACAATTTCATAATTTATGTATTAGATTAGATGCCCTTAGCAGTGAAAAACATTTTGAACAAAATGTCTATCAAAGTATGAAACTCTTAACAGCTATATTGTAAGTGGTATATGGTCATCATTGATCTCTAATTGCCTTCATTATTTTTCAAATTAAGTCTTGTTTTATATCTTTCCCTTGCCTTAAATTATGTTTGAATCTGGCCCCTTGAATCTCTCATGAATCAGTTAAATATTTATAGGTTATCTACTTGATGCAATAAAGGAAATCCAATTATTCAAAAGTTAGGCCATCGTCCAAGAGATGTCGTAATGCAGTCAAAGAAATAGAGCAAAGTCCTATGCAATAATAACAAAAATGATGAAATGAGAAGAGGTATCATGAGGGATGTATATTTGACTGACAATTGGATATAACATTTATCGAACATAGAATCGTAGAGATGTAGAACTGGACAAAAAACTTCAGAGAATTTAAAAAACTCTTTTACTTATTATTTTTTCAAGGTGTTGCCGTGGGGAGAATGCCATGGCATGACAGCTCACAGCAACCTCAAACCCTTGGGCTTACATGATTCTCTTACCTCATCCTCCCAAGTAGTTGTGCCCCCACAATGCCCGGCTATTTTTTGGTTGTAGTTTTCACTGTTGTTTGGTGGGCCTGGGCTGGATTTGAACCTGGCAACTCCAGTGTATGTGGCTGTGCCCTAGCCATTGAGCTATAGGCGCTGAGCCTAAAAAACTCTTTTTATTATAGAAATTTCCAAACATATTCAAAAAGAGATTGGTGTCATGTACCTGTAATGAAAGATTAACCATTTTACCAAATTGTGCCTGATCTTTACCCCTTCTGCACACCCAACCCTCTTCCTACTATTTTCAAGCGAATTCCCAAATATAAAATTATTTTATCTACACATTTTGGTAGTATTTCTACAAGCTAAGTATTACTTGTAATGCACTACCACAGTAATATTACCAGGCCTCCAAAGCTAAGTCGAATTCTTAATGCCACTCATTCTTTTGCCTTCTCGGTGCCTCTGGGATGGAGCAGCTCCTGCCCAGCTCTCTGACGCTTTACGGTTTTACACCACTTGCCTCTGGGCTTCCAGATCGCGTGTGTGCAGAACGACAAGCAATCACCATGCCGCAGAGTGGTGCAGGGTTTATTTTCTTTTCTTAGGATAAAAATGGGGCTTATGGAATTATGAGGGTTTTTCTAGAAAAAAAATAGTGGAAGTCATTCCAGGTGAAATAAAACTTACAGGCAAGGGTCCAGGCCTAAACAAGCACAGAGGGTGTTCCGGTAAAGCTAATCTTTGGATGCCAACTCTCAAATGGAAAGTATATCAGTACGATATTGTCTGGGTAATGCACCGTTCTGTGTGTGCGTCCCTTAAGGTGGGTGCAGACACTGAGGAGCACTAGCCGTTGGTCAAATCTTACAAATCCGTCTGAAATTCTAGGATTAAGAACAGGAGAGAAAGGAAGAACCTTCTGTTTCTTCATTGTAATTGTGTACATTAAGTGCGCACGCGTTCATGCAACGTTGTGTGTATTTGTAATCCATGAATAGGATATAGTGGATTTCTATAGTTTACACATTACTTAGGAGTTTAGAATTTTTAGATGTTTAATTTATACACCTTTAGTTGAGAGTTGATGATATATAATGAATTGAGTTCAGCACTGTGATACTTAAAAAGTTCCGAGAATTTATTGTATGGGTCAGAGAGACTGAATATCAAGCATGACTAGGTTGACCTACATCCTGAACTCTGTGGGATAATTTGGATTGTGCCAACAAGTTTGTCATTAGCCCCACATTTCAGTCTGAAAGATTCCTGTGTAGATGGTAAGTTATGTGATCATCCTCGTCATGACTTGTAGACTAAGGATTAAGAGCCCATGATAATATTCCAGCAGCATCCTCAGACCCTTATCATATCATTATTCACACCTCCATCGGTGTGTTTAAAATCTGCTTTCTAGATGTGTGAGCTTGGTGAATACAGAAGCACATAACTTCTTCACTGCTTCTGCAGTGCCAGCCTCTGCCACAGCCTATAGGACACACTCATCAGATGGTCCTGAGTAAAGGACACCCACCCTTATAATGCATTATAGTGACTGAAAGCCTGGGCCTTTTTATTTCTCTTGTCTTAATTCACAATTAAAAAAGAAATTCTTAGGATGAATACGTATGATGTGAGAAGGAGAGTGAAAGTTTGAGTTGTATTTCCTGTATTTAAATGTGATAAAATGTGAAATAGTGGTATGGCCAGAGCTCTAAATGAATGGGAAATGCAATTTGTGAGATCTCTGTCATCGTTTGACTAATGGGATGAATCCCAAATTGTTTCATTATCCCTGTTGGGATACAGCCTTGACTTTAGGAGTAATTAGTGGAGACCAGTGTCACTTACCCTTAAAAAATAAGATATGTCTACAACAAGGCTTCAATTAATTTAAATAACACCACATGCAACATAGTGGCAAAGTATACAATACATACAAATAAAACAATGTTGAAGTAGTTTGTTTTTAACTGAACATTTCAACTATGGTAAATTATAAAATCTATGGCAATATTGTTTTACGATTCCATACTTCACAGTCAACACAAGTCAGCCACAGAACGGCAGAAAACCCTGAGAGCAGATCTGGAGGGGGGGAATGGAGAGTCCCCAGCACCATCGTGTAATGATATGCACCAAATAAGTTAGATACAGACTGGCTGCCCCGTAAATGTGGGTGGAGGCTGGAAGTTGAGACAGTACAGTATTGAGATGATTCTGGTTGATTCGTTTTAGGTATTTCCAGGTAAATTTTTATTATTTTTTTATTCTGCTGGGTGCCACATGATTACAGTGTTACTCAGGGGATTAAAACATGGCCTCTACTTTATAGTAGGCAGGAAAAATATCCTAAGAATCACAGATCAAGGTAGATTATTTGATGTGGGAGTGGGAAACATTAGAAAGATAATGAGGAAAATTATCCTTTCACTGTTGAGGAAGTGGGTTACTTTTTCTCATGAGCAGCATAGTATGTTAGAATTCTCACAGATGGTGGACTGGGGACCGGGATTTAGACCAGGCCCGTAATCAACGTGAGGGGTAAGAGGGGTGAGATAGTGGCTGAGCCTCAGACACAGAACCACTAAGGAAAGGTAAAAATTTGTGGGTTAATTATGAAGGAGTGTGAAATGGGGAAAGTTATTTAGATACAAAGATGAGATCAATTTTATCCCTGATTTTAAAAATAAGTAGCTTATTTGATTAAACAGTGTCAGGGGAATCTGTGACTTGTTGGTTCAGTAAACAGATCAAGTAAGACTATTTCCTTTCCACTGTCTTCTTACAGAAAACACAAAAGTCATTGTTGAGGAAGAAACCTATTAAAAAAAATGTTTTCTATTGTCACTGATAACCCCTTTGTCTTTCGTAAACTCAGAAGATTATATAGCATCTAATATTAATAATTTTAATATTACAGAAACATTCATATTCCATCACTTATTAAAGAACAATTTACAAAGCTATGAATAAGCACACAAATTGTGTTTTAGGAGCTTAGCAGCAATGTCAAGTTGCCTTGGAAACTATCAGCTCAGAGCATTGTATTTTATCTATTTAGGACATTCAACCAAACTGTCGGGACATTCGAAGAACTCCAAAAATACCTGGAAGGGTATGTGGCGAACCTGAACCGTGATGATGAAAAAAGACATGCGAAGTAAGTGAGAGGCCGTCTCCTGAGCTGGGCGTGGCTTCTGGAAGCTGATGAAGAAAGGCGCGGGGGGTGGGGGGGGGCGTAGGGGGGGCAAGTGGGGAGGGGACTTGTGTTTTGGAAACTTTTAATATGCCTTCACTAAGACTTTTAATTGTTCTTCTACAAAGACAACACAACTTACTGCTAAGATGGGTCCTATTCTTTTTTTTTTTGCAGTTTTTTTCTTTTTTTGGCAGGGGCTGGGTTTGAACCTGCTACCTCCGGCATATGGGGCCGGTGCCCTACTCCTCTGAGCCACAGGCACCACCCTAAAATGGGTCCTATTTAAGTTGATAAGTAGTCAGCTCCGTTATTTTGAATGATACACAGGAATCTTAGGGAGAAATGTTCTAATCGGAGGCTTTAGGAAAGGGATTTTTTTACATTACCTTAGAACTTAGTTCAAAAGAACTTTAATGACTGATTACAGGTAAAGAGGAGGGTTATATTATAATTTTTCAAAATATAAGGGAGCTATTCCCCAGGGATGTGTGTGTATGTGGAGAGAAGGAGGTTGGGAAGAGCTTTAAATGTACTGACAGTGATTAAAAAGTTTTTTTTTAATTTTCTAGAAAACTCTATTTTGAAATTATTTGATAAGACATTTTTTACAGTGCAATATTAAGCATGTATTTCACAGATAGTGCTATTAAAGGTATACAGTCAAAATTTCTTAAAAACTGAATCAGAGCTTTCCATCTGCACTTTATAAGTTTGGCAAATTTGCAGTTTTTATACTGAAAGCCTTTTTTGGTAACAATTTATAAATACAATAAATACATAATCCAGAGCAGGAAACCTGAATTAAAAGAGAAAAAAGGTTATTTCCAGACAACAATACTTCAACACAATAAAGTAAGAAACGTATTTTTCATATTTCAGAAAGCAATTAGTTACTTTGGTTCAGTCATGAAAAGCTTCAAGATCTGGCAAAAGTAGCCAACCCCAGCAAAGGTTCTCAGGGTGCAGTCCCCTGTACCGCGGCCAAGCAGGTCGCTCTCTGTTTATTCCCTTTCCATGGAGTCCTTTCTTGGTTTGTTTTAACAGCTTTATTTAAGTATATTTTAAAAACCACAACCTTCAGCCATTTTATCCCTCACTTATTCAATTTGACATTTGTCTGTTTCTCGGGGTGTGTGCGTGGATGTATTTCAAGTTTTGTGTTTTTATGTTATATGGCTTTTCTCCCTGCCTGAATCTGATCCTGTAAAGTGGAGGCAGCCTTTGTGGCAGCCATGGAAAGTAGCTACAGGCAGAAATACGAGTGGAATTTATGTCTGCCTTGACACCTGCTTGACGAAGGGTGTTCTTTTCTCCTGCCCAGGCGTTCCATGTCTAACTGGAAGCTGTCCAAAGCACTCTCTCTGGAAATGATTCAGCTGAAGGAGAAGGTGGCCAGATTTTCCTCATCATCCCCATTCCAGAACCTTGAGATTATTGCAACACTGGGCGTTGGTGGGTTCGGAAGAGTTGAGCTTGTAAGGGGTTTACGTTTCAAGCATCTGAGAGAAGCCTTTTGACTTTTTTTTGTTTTATGTTCCAGCACCTCTTGGAGGAATGTATGAATTGTTATTGCTATCTTAAATGTTGCTTTGAACCGAAACTCAGAAAGTAAAATGTTCCCTCTGTGTAGTGAGTAGCGGCAGGTCTGTGCTAGACGGTGATGTATAGAAATTAGCTCGTATTTCAAGCTTCTTATGTCACGTCTTCTGTGTGTTATTTTCTGGGTAGTAATTACCAGTGAATGTGCCAAGTGAGTATTTCCTAAAGGAAACATTAAAAAATATATTTTCCAACAACAAAACGTGCGTGTGTACACACACGACACATTCAATCTCTGTACAGTAACGTTAAGAATGTGTCGGACAGAAATGCTATAGAAATGAAATCTTCAGTGTTACAGTTATCATCCTTAAATAACCGTACTACCATGTCTGTTTTTCACTTTCATTATTCTATTTTGGGGTTACTCAAATGTTTATATCAAAAGAAAAAAAAAGAGATGAATTCAAGGGGAGATCTGAAGAGCAGCCTCCTGTGTGTTGATGAGGATAGCTGGAAGCTCACTGCCTGATTTCAACTCTATCTTCCAAATCAGCACCCAGTAGCACAAGTGCTAGTGTTACTATCCGATCAAGCATTCTCGGGAAACCGTAGAATAGAGATCTGTGACCTTACCGGGTACGGATGGTTCTGAACCCTTCGCAATTACCAAGTCCTTCTTTGCCCCTCAGATTTTTTAAGGATTCATGGTACATTAACTTTGGGGAATTATGCTGACCCCTCCATCTGCTAGATGGCCCAAGGCACTGGCAGATCTGAAATGCTGTCAGGAGACTCTGGATAACACACTTCACACCCAGTCTGCATTTCATCTCTGATGGGTGAGGGGGAAAAATGGTTCCTTAATAGGGAAAAGAATATTTGTTATGATTTTTTTGCCATATGGAGCGATAAGAATAATATCCATCTGCAGTGGTATTTTTCACCTCAGATTGTGGCAAAAGGATTGAATTAACAATGCTGAGACCTGTTTTCCTAGATAACAATAATTGGAGCAGTAAATCCACCATTGATTTAAAAGTCACGGCAGCACTAATGGCAGACGTGAGCAAAATACGGGCGCAGATGTGTCTGCACAGTCCCGTTGTTGTCGTGTATGATGTACTGATGGACTTCAAAACCAATCCCCCCAAAATAATTATTTTAAGATCTTTCTTTCCTTTTAAGGGGAATTTCAGATTGTGCATATATAGTAATGCTCTCCAAGAAAAATTTCTGTTCTAAGGGAAATATCCTGTATCTGCACTTTGAGGAGGGTAGCCTCAAGCTAGGCGTGGCTGCTGAGCTTTTCAAATGTGGCTACTTCAGCTGGGAAACTGAATTTTAAATTTTAATTTACTCAATTGTAAAAACCCTTGTGCGATTGATGGCTCTCATATCGGATAATGCAGATAGAGAATTGGATATACTTTGTTTTGTTTTGAAAATCAAATAAGTGAATAATAAGAAAAAAGAACTTGGGGCAATTCTGGTCAACATTTTTTGTGGTATATGTCAACACTGATAGATTTCTAAGCATTGAATCTCCTAACCAGAATTTTTTCTTAGCTCAGTACGAAACACTGGGTGGTCGTGTCCCAGATATATGAATTGTCTTACAAATTACAATAAAAGGGAAGTGTGTACCTAATGGAGCTCATTTCTCAGAGGGATACGTGATTAAAGCTTAATGTTTAAGTGTGAAACGATTTCAACTCTCACTAATTAACATGTTTTAGATAGATAGATATTGCAAACTTTGCCTGGTACGTTAATTTTGAGGGATCTTTCCATTTCTTACGTAGGTTAAAGTGAAAAATGAGAATGTTGCTTTTGCTATGAAGTGTATAAGGAAGAAGCACATAGTTGACACCAAGCAACAGGAACATGTCTACTCAGAAAAGAGGATCCTGGAGGAGTTGTGCTCCCCATTCATCGTGAAGTAAGTGAGCACGTTGGCTTCCAGGACGTACGATTTTAGGCTCTTCTTTTGAAGGTTTTCATGCAAGCAGACAGACAGAAAGAAGAGGACGAGGAGGCCACACTTTGAATTTGCCATCCCGGGCACTGCAACAGCAACTTACAGTGTTAGACGTTTGAAGTCTGGGCTCGGAAGTTTTTCAGTTGCTTTTTATTCTTGAGTAAAACTCACGAAAGTGTGTGCGTGCACGCGCACATATGTGTTGAGACCGTGTGATTACAAAATTACGGAGAAATAATTTGAACTGAGTATTTTATCTAGACTTAATGCAGATTCAGGAATAACTGAGAATTCACAAGACATCCCTAGTGACTGAACTGACGTTGCATTCTTCAGGAAGTGGCATTTGGGCACACGTCTCTGGTCCTGGTCCTAGCAGTGATGAGTACCCAAAGATCCATCTCATAATAGTTATTCTTTTTTCTTTAGTTATCACTGGGGTTTTGAGAAGAAATTTAAAGTGTCATAGGCCACAGATCTCTTCTGAATTCATGGGTTAGTGTCTTATAGCAGCTTATGTTTTCACATATGTTTTAATACCCCAAAGTATATTTTTCTCCTGGTGATGCAAAATGTCCCTATAATAACTGACACTCTTTTTAATCCAATGCTTTGAAAGAATTTTTCATCCATATGTCTAGACCTATTTTTTTAGTTAAGATTAAAGGAATTCTGAACACAGGCAGTTCTGGCATTAGAGAGTCATCAAATTATCTTTATAATGATGGTGTTCCCAGAATGTCCTTTTAAAATTAATATTTCATTGACAAACTAGGACGAGTAGCTGTAGGCATGGATTTGGTTATTTACTGTCTTATTTCCAGGTCTTTGCAAAGTGCCTGGAATATAGTGGGGCAATAATATTAAGAATAAATATTAATGACATTTATTAAAAAATTAATATGTACCAGGTAGTCGTCCAAGCTATCTGTGTGTATAGACAATCATCACATTTACCATCAATAAATATATGTGTATGTATATATACTTATTTTATATATATATAAAATATTTGATGAATATATTCCATCACTATTATGTAAATAAATAATATATAATCAATAAGTAATCAATTATATAGATACACACCCTTGTATATATATAAATATATAATATTGTATTTTATATGTATTGTATAGTCAATGAGAAGACTGAGGTTGCACAGATAATAAATGTTCCACCTGGGACTGAAACAAGGGTGGTTTGGTCACAGAGGCCACGTTCTGACCACTTCCCCAGATTGCTTCCTTTCTCTGTCCCTGGTAAAGTTGCTGTGTGGTCTGCTTCATCCTGTGCTTGGTGCTAGGGAGTAACAGAGCTGTCTTGATTAAGACCCAGGGACTTTCATCCAGTGTTGAAACGTGCTGCCCTGTGCAGGCACCTTTAGGACAGAGGCTGCCATTGCCCCTGCTTCTGGGAGGGTCAAGGCCTCGAGTTCTAGTAGTTCTCTGGACACTGGTTAGGTGCAGAGAACCGCCTTCCCTGGGTGATGCTTTCTGCGGAGATGTCTGCATCTTATGACTGTAGACAGAGTACCTTGAAGCTGAGGCATGGGTTGAAACTGAGTCGTAGCCCAAATCTCCCTCTGACCAAACCCTTCCTTCCTCTCCTGACAAGGGTTGTTCCCAAGTGCCATGCTCACTAGTCCCCACTAATTAATTATGGGTCTCAGTCCCAGAGTCTATCTCCAAGGGAATCCGACGTCAGGTAGCCAACTAGAGGCCACAGACGTGGGTATGAAGAACTGTTACCCAAGGCAGCTCTTAACGGTGATAGAAGGACAGGCCGGTGGCTTGTTGGAGGAAGGACAGGCCATGTTTTGTAGGTAAGATAATGAGTGGCCTTATTAGGAAAGCAGCCTTGGAACATGGCCTTGCACACAGGATAAGGCTTCGACAGTAAAACCAAGGTTAAGAAGTTCAGTCCGTGGGTAGAAGGAGGACAGTCTGAGTGAAAGAATCCACATGAGCAGACACAAGGCCTGTAGGAAGAGCAAAGAGGATTTGGCAAGGAGCCCAGGGTAGCTGTGGGATAAACGGAAGGGGATGAGGGTCATGGTCCAGAATATTATGATCACGGTCTTGAGCAACTTTAAAGGGTTTTAAAACTGGGTTTCTAATAATAACTGTGTTTTTATCTTTCTTCACAGATTATATCGTACTTTCAAGGACAATAAATACGTATATATGCTCCTAGAGGCCTGCCTGGGGGGAGAGCTGTGGAGTATTCTAAGGGACAGGTAATAAAAAGTTACAAACCGTAGCCTTAGTCTGCTCACTGCTGGTCAGGAGGATGCTCATTTAAAGAGGCAGGAAGGAAATCCGTAGGACATGACTGTAAGAAAATATCACTTAATTAAATAAAAGAGTAATGTTTTCTTAGCTACCATTATAAAATGTTGTAGGCACCCTGGAAGGTAGTCAGCGACATCCCTCTTCTGGGATTGAAGAATGTCAGGCTTAGAGAGAGTGGGAACTATTCAGTGTCACGTGGCTTGTATGGGGCAAAGTTGTGTATAAACCCATGTTTCTAATTCAAATCTAGCAAGAGAAGAAAGAAAAGTAGGGTGGGAAATGGGTAAGTACGGACTGAAACAGATGTCTGCAAAGATTCAGTTTTACGAAAGGGTTTGTTTCCACACAATCCAAACCACAGGTAATTACTGAGCACCAACTGTGGACAAGGCTCCATAGGGGCAGTGTGTGCGGACAGAAGGCAGATTCTCGATGGTATACACTTGTTTAACCACTTTACTCTTATTTAACCACAGAGTAAAATATTCATACATTTTCTCCAGTGAGTTTAAGAGTTCACTTGAGGAGGTGATTATGAAATTTTAAAAACAAATCATTGTTGAATGCAAAACTAAATAACAAAGAAGTTGCCATTTGTCATTAAATGCCAAGTGTGAACTACAGACACTAAGCTTGGGGGAGGGCAGAGAGAGAAAATGGGATGCTTGAAGAAGAAGAATTTGAACTAAACCCTGAGAATGAGAAAATTTGGGGAAGGCAGAAAGGCAGGGAGACATCTATATGGTGAAGGAGAGTTGGGCCACAGTGTGGGCTCTTTGTGGGTGATGGACAGAAGGGTCTGGGTAGAAGACAGAGCAGCAGGGGTGGGGAAGGGGGTTGGCATCACAGAGCGGGGCTGAGGCCAGGCCCGTCCCATGGGGTCTTACCTGGGCCAGTGCTTCTCAGCCCCGGCTGCACACTGCAGTCATGTGGGGAGCTTGTACAGAGGAAAAACACTGGGCCCTACTGAGAGGTTATGATTCACTTCACCTGGGATGGCATCCAATAAGTGATTTTTGAAAATGCTTCTCAGGAAATTTTAGCATAGATTCATGGTTGAAAATCTGTGACCTAGGCAAGAAAAGACCACTGAACATCTGAGTAGAAGACGAGTGTGTAGTTTAGAGTCTAGATGGATGGGTTCTGGGGTGGGAGGGAACCTGGAAGAGTGAGGAGACTTTCATGATATCTGTAAAAGCATCTCCACCTTTGCTCCAATAGGCAGATGTATTTAGAAAAAATTATTATTATTTTGTTTTTAGAAAAAGGGGTTCCCACTCCTTGTTAGGCACTGTGCTTAATCCTGAACACAATGCTGTTACGTCAGTAGCAAACCCATTTTGCAGGTGTGAACCGTGAGGCACAGAACAGTTAAACACCTTGCCCAAGTGGAAGAGCCCAAGTCACACCTAGTTTTCTTCACTGCAGAGCCACACAGTTCTGTGATACCAGGTAGCAAATCACCTCCACACTTAAAAAATTAGCACATAAAACAGTGTTGAGGGAATGAACTCTAACAAGAGCTCAGGGCAGCAGGCAGGAAAGAGTTATGGCCCCATTTCTCTGTGGGTGATGGCTACACGCTGTACAAGTAGGAAATTAAAATAATCACTTGAGTCACTTTTTAGTCAAACTGTAAATTATAAAAATCTGGTTCAAACTTTCCACTGAAACAGGTTCATTTCCTCTACATGCCTGATTTCTTTAAAAAGTCTTTGATTTTTGTCTATTCTGTATGTTTATGTGTGATTACTAGAGACAATTGGTGTAGACATTTTAATGTTAGTGGATTAAATTTAAGAATTTAATTTTAGTTCATGTTTGCATCAAGAAACCATATGACGCTTTATGATCAGCAAACAGTGTAATTCATGGGCAGTATAAAATAAATTTTAGTGTTGAGGTCCTGCAAAATATTTATACTGTACACATTTATCAGGACCATGATTGATACCCGGAATGGCGCTAAAGACATGAATCCTGACTATTCAGAGGAAAATGGTTTCCTTGCAGGGGCAGCTTTGATGAACCCACCTCCAAGTTCTGTGTTGCTTGTGTGACGGAAGCCTTTGATTACCTGCATCGACTGGGGATCATCTACAGAGATCTCAAGCCAGAAAACTTAATTTTAGATTCCGAGGGTTACCTTAAGTTGGTAAGACAAGTTTTCTTACTTACAGTGTCATACGAGGTATTCTGCACCAAAAATACAGCTTTATAATGGCAGTTTTCTTTTTAATGTTGGTGTAGCTGTTATTTTCACTTTGGTCTTTGAAGCTGGCACACCTAATATAGGAAGCAGTGTTATGAGTACATTATTTGGGGCCTAAGAATTTAATGATTCAACCATATCTGTGATTCCTACTGAAGATCCACAGAATAGTGTGCTTTAAAATTGGATTTTGTTGTTATTTTTGATTAATAATTTTAAAAATAATTTTTATTTCAAAATACTAGAGGGTACCAGTGTTTTGTTTTGCATAGCTGAATTGTATAATGCAGGACTCAGGGCTTTTAGCAGGCCTGTCAGCAGAACAGTGCACACTGTACGAAGCAGGTTTTAGCTGATGCCTGCTATGGACAGAAACTGGCTCTAAGGAGTAAGAAGCCCCAGTGCAGTAGCTCACACTGTTATCCTAGCACTTCGGAAGGTCAAGCAGGAGGATTGCTTTAAGGTTAGGACTTCAAGATCAGCCTAGGCAATGAAAATATAAAAAATGTTAAAAAATCAGCTGGGTGTGGTGGTACATGCCTATAATCCTAGCGACTTGGGAGGATGAGGCAAAAGGGTCTCTTGAGTCCAGGAATGCAAGGCTGCAGTGAGTTTTTATCATGCTACTGCAATTCAGCCTTGGTGACAGAGACCCTCTCTCAAAAAAAAAAAAAAGAAAAAAGAAAAAAAGGATAGCCACTGTCTACAGCAGGTGTCCTCAAACTAGACATTTATCTGGGTGTTTTTGCCACCGCTGCCTGTCCTGCTTAGCAGCCAACTCGTCCTGGGGCCCGCAGTCTGGTCCTCCAACGGTCTGAGGGACAGTTAACTGGCCCCCTGTTTAAAAAGTTTGAGGACTCCTGGTCTACAGAAAGAGAGAAGATAAACTTAGAAATGTCCATAGTGCTTTTTGAAATCGTTCAAGGTGGTTCTAGTGTGCAGCCAAGGTGGAGAGTTACATGACTGGATGGCAGGCTCTCTGGGGACAGACTGTCCTTGCTGCCCAGCTCTGGAGCCCACCCATGCCTCACGTGAATTCCCCTGCATGCTACACCAGAGAGGAAACTGCTCAGAATTGCACAAACTGCTTTCAGTGAGAAACTATAATAAAACAGGGTAACTGCCCCACTGAGGAGAAAATGGGTGGGGAGGAAGCCAGCCCACCAGCAGGGAGGACCCAGGTGGCCTTGCCCCAAGTCCCTTTTGATAGTACTGCAAGGGTATTAAACCACTTCTGAATTAGAAATTTACAAAGGTATTAACAGTGTCTCACCTCAGAACTCTCGTATAAGGAAATGAGAAGAGCCACCGTGTGAGCAGGTACTGTGTGTGGAGCTACTATCCTAAACCTTTTACAATTAACCTGTTTAACCATCTATAAAATAGATTTGTATTATCTGCATGTTATAGTAGTACAATTTAGACTTAGGAATCAAAGTTGTTATGTGTAATGGCTAAGAGATTTTTCTGTGTGGTGGAGACGTAAAATAAAAGCCCTTCTATGTGAAACCTGGCTAACTTCCAAGAAACATTCTCATTGATT